GCAAAGAGCAGTAAGAGCCACTCGATCCCCTGCTCCCAGGACGCCGGGAAGGCAGGAGAAGTCATGCGGCTCAAACGGCCCCAGCCCAGCCGAGAGCTTGTTACACATTTACCCCGCNGGCCGTCTCTTCGTGGGCGCCAAGAACCACCTCCTCTCTCTGGCCCTGGATGACATCAGCCAGCGGGGCAGGAAGGTAACGGGGCGGGGGGAACACGCTGGCGGGGCAGTGCTGGGTGCTCCAGGTGCGGTGAGCATCCCCTTCTCCACCCGCAGATCTACTGGCCGGCTCCCGTGGAATGGAGGGAGGAATGCAACTGGGCTGGCAAGGACATCACTGTGAGTGGTGGGGAGTGTTGTGGGATGCCAGGACTGTGCCAGGGATCTGCCCCAGCACTACCTCACCCTTCATTCACTCCATTCCCAGGCTGAATGCATGAACTTTGTGAAGATCCTGCACCCCTACAACCGGACCCACCTGTACGCCTGCGGCACTGGTGCCTTCCACCCAGTCTGTGCCTTCATCGAGGCTGGCCAGCATGCAGAAGTGAGCCTCCCCTGGCACCACCACAGCCTCCAGCTGCTGCCACCTGCCCACCTCCCATCCTTACCCTCTCCAGGAGCCCGTTTTCAAGCTGGACCCCCACCACACTGAGGATGGCAAGGGGAAGAGCCCGTACGACCCCCAGCACACAGCTGCCTCTGTCCTTGTGGGTAAGGGCATTCTGAGCCTGGTGCTGGGTGCAGTGTGGCACAGGGGTGCCAGGGGGGCCCCTATAACACTTCCCTCGGTGCCTGCCAGGCGAGGAGCTCTACTCTGGGGTGGCCACCGATCTGATGGGCCGTGACTTTACCATCTTCCGCAGCCTGGGCCGGCGTCCCTCCATCCGCACGGAGCAGCACGACTCTCGCTGGCTCAATGGTCAGTGCTGGGCACTGGGAGCATGGGGAACAGGGGGGCCACTGGCACAGCAGTGCTGCTGCCTGGAGGCATCAGGGCAAGGACTCCTCCAGGCTCAGATATGTCTTCATTGCCTCCAGAGGGTGATTTCAGGGGTTCGTGTGTTGCCTCCAGACCCTCAATGTCTGGTGGAGTCCCATCCTCACTATGCCTCTGCTCTGCAGCTGGGCAGGGTTGGTTCTGCACCCTCCCCTGGGACCCCAACAGGTGCTCCAGGGTCCCTGGGGAGCACAGCCAGTGGAGGCATTGGAAGCACCACCCTTCTGTCCCCAGAGCCCAAGTTCGTGGCTGTTTTTTTGGTGCCGGAGAGTGAGGACCCCGACGATGACAAGATCTACTTCTTCTTCCGTGAGACGGCGGTGGAACGGCAGCAGGGGCTGGGCAAGACCAGCTTCGCCCGCATCGGCCAAATCTGCCGGGTGAGAGTGGGCACGGGCAGGGGGTCTGGGGCTAGGGTGCCCAGGGGTGCCACCTGCTGCTGCTGACACTGGTGTCCCCTTGCCCTGGCAGAACGACATGGGCGGGCAGCGCAGCCTGGTGAACAAGTGGACGACATTCCTGAAGGCTCGGCTGGTGTGTGCTGTGCCAGGGCCCGACGGGGCAGACACCCACTTCGATGAGCTCCGTGAGTGAACGGGGATGTGGCCCCAGCAGCGCAGCTTGGGCAGCACTGGCAGCACTGATACCTTCCCTGCTTGCAGGGGATGTTTTCCTGTTGCAGACAAGAGACAAGCGCAACCCTCTGATCTATGCCATCTTCTCCACCTCCAGGTCAAGCCCCTTCCCCAGGACCCTGCACATACCCAGTGGTGCCCCTCCTTGCCTCTCACATCTTTCCCCTCTCTCTCCCATTAGCTCTGTTTTCCAAGGCTCAGCTGTCTGTGTCTACACAATGGCTGACATCCGCCGGGCTTTCCTGGGCCCCTTTGCACACAAGGAAGGTCCCAACTACCAGTGGGTGTCATACCAGGGCCGGGTGCCATACCCCCGCCCAGGCATGGTACGTGGAGTAGGGGTGTCCTGGCTGGTGCCACCACTGAGATGCCACTACATGGGGTGGGGACACTGGGCTGTGAGACCCTGCTTAGCCAGTGCTGTCTCCCTGCAGTGCCCCAGCAAAACCTTCGGCACCTTTGGTTCCACCAAGGACTTCCCAGATGAGGTGATCCAGTTTGCCCGTCACCACCCACTGATGTACAACCCTGTCCTGCCCCATGGCCAGCGCCCCCTGTTCCTGCAAGCCACCGTGCCCTACACTTTCACCCGCATAGCTGTGGACCGTGTCACCGCTGCCGATGGCCACTACGATGTCCTCTTCATTGGCACAGGCATGTAGTGACCCTAGGGATGGGGCAGTGAGGGAGAGGTGGGAGATGCTGGGGCTGGGACCCGTGGCCTCACCCCTCCCTGCCTGCAGATGTGGGCACAGTGCTGAAGGTGGTCTCAGTGCCCAAGGAGAGCTGGCACCGCATGGAGCCGCTGCTGCTGGAGGAGCTGCAGGTCTTCCAGGTGAGGGTCAGGGTTCCACATCCCACCAGTCAGACTTCCCTGCAGCATCCTCATGTGCTGTCCATGCTCTGGGTTGCATGTGGGAGCCAGGATGCTGCATTCCTAGGCTGCCCCATTCACCCTTAACTCCTGCCCATGCTCTGCCCACAGGATTCCTCCCCCATCATCAGCCTGCAGCTCTCCTCCAAGCGGGTAAGGGGGACCCCTGGGCATTCCCAGGTCCACCATGGCTCTGCCTAGCCCCGTACCACAGCATGGGGTGCTCAGCTCTGCTCTTCCCCCAGCATCAGCTCTATGCTGGCTCAACCACAGCGCTGGCCCAGCTGCCCCTGCACCGCTGCAGTGCCTATGGCAAAGCCTGTGCCGAGTGCTGCCTGGCCCGGGACCCATACTGCGCCTGGGATGGCAACACCTGCACCCGCTATGTGCCCAACACCAAGAGGTAGGTGCCATGTCGTGCCGGGATGCAGTGCTGGGGCAGCCATCCTGCCCCCAGGCCATGGTGGGGAGCACGGTCAGGCTGCGCAGCCCCTGCTCCTGCATCGCCCTCCCACAGGCGTTTCCGCCGGCAGGACGTCCGCAACGGGGACCCCAACGTGCTCTGCTCTGAAGGTGAGCTGGGACCAGCCCGAGTCTGGGGCTGCCCTGCCGTGGTGGGGGCTGACAGCCAGGCTGTGTCCCCGCAGATCCCAGGCGGGACACCGTGCCCCAGAAGCAGCTCTACGGGGTGGAGGGAAGCTCCGTCTTTCTGGAGTGCATCCCCAAATCCCTGCAAGCCCACATCCTCTGGACATACCAGCGCACCCTGAATGATCCCCAGCGAGAGGTAGGCTCTCCCTGGCCAGGTACCGCCGGTGGGGCCGTGCCGTGCCGTGCCGTGCCGAGCTGACCGCCCATCCCCGCGGGTACTGCAGATGCAGATGGACGAGCGGGTGGTGCGGACGGAGAGGGGCGTCCTGTTCCGCAGCGTGCAGCGCTCCGACGCCGGCCTCTACCTGTGCCACGCCACGGAGCACGGCTTCACGCAGCCCCTGCTGCGGCTCTCCCTGGAGGTGATCGGCGCCGGGCAGGCCACGGGCGCGGCGTCTGCCGGAGACCCCCAGCTCGCAGCCGGGATCCCCGGCCGCAAGGTCTGGTACCGGGACTTCCTCCAGCTGGTGGAGCGCCCGCCGCTAGGAGCCACGGACAAGGCGTGCCAGAGGCTGTGGAGCCGGGGCAGACCCCCGGCGCCGGCCCGCAGCCCCGGCGGGCCCCCCGGCCGCGGGCAGGGCTCGGAGCTGCGCAGGGCCCGCCGCCGGCGCACCCACGAGGGGCCGCGGGCAGAGCGGGGGCCCCGCAGCGCATCCCCCTGGTGACCCGGGCGCCGGCCCCGGGCGCCGGGCTCTGCCTAGGAGCGGGGCCGCGGGCGGGGCACGGCCTCGGCAGCGCCGCGGGGGCACTGCCGGGGGCTGGCTGCGGCTCCGGGGCCGCAGAAGGGCAGCCGGGCTGAGCCGCCCCCCGAGGGGCTGCCGAGCGCCCTTGCCACCGGCTCCAACACCGGTGGTGACCCAGCCGGCTGCCGGCGTCGCAGAGTCACCGAAATATTTATTAACGACTGTTACTATGAATGTAAACTGCGGGGTCAGGCAGTGCCCCCCCAGCACGGCACTGCGGGAGGACGGCACAGCAGGGTCACGCTCGGGTCCCAAAAGGGCCACGGGCAGCAGTGGGGGCACGGAGGGGCAGCACAGGCACTGGTGGGACGCAGGAGGAGGGGGGAATAAAGGGGAGATGTTGGGGGGCATAATGGTGGCACCCACTGCTCTGGGTGTAGAACAGTGGCACAGGGGACCTTGTACTAATTGAGCACAATAAAGCAATTCAGCCGCCCAGGCTCCCGCGTCTGACCCGGAGCCCCAGAAGCGCTCGGGGGCACCCCGGTGCCCCACAGCACGGACCCACTCTGGCACCCCAAGCCTGGAGGGGTGGGATGCCTGGAGACACTGGAGGGCTGAGGGGAGACAAGACCTGCAGGGACATTGCCAAGATTGATGGGTTTTCCCCAGACTTCCAGCTGCCCGTGCTTTCTGGAAGATGAAAACCAAAATTCCCCGGTGCCAGCAGGCAGCAATTAACGCAGTGACCGAAGGTGACCTCGGACTCTGCTGCCTCCTGCTGTCTGTGCTGGCATCAGGACCCCTGGTGGCACTGGCCACATCCCACAGCCTGCAGTGACACCATGCTACCAGCACAAACCATGTCCCAGCGCTGGTTGCCCCCCAGCCTGAGCACAGGCAGGCAGTGGTGCAGGCAGGAGCAGGCAGATAAAGCAGATGGCTTTTTCTCCTGAGGTCCAGCTGGCAGCAGGCTGTCATCCTTCACCCCACCAAGCACCCTGGAGTCAGGGAGCACTGCTTTACTGCACCTCTGTGTCCCTGTGCCATCCCGGCAGCTTGTGGCATTGAGGTCCCCCCTCAAAGTGTTGGCGACCCCAACCCCTTTGACTACCCCATGAGACACTTGTCACTGTCCCCAACAGAGCAAGCAGCACAAGGATCTAGTAAGTATTTATTTCCAGCATGACAGGAGGGTACACAGGGGCATGGGCTGGTGCTGAGGGCAGTGCTCAGCAAGGCAAGCAGGCAGGGAGCTGGGGGCCTGCGCCTCCCCGGAGCCGCAGGAGCATGTAGATTGTGCTCATGGGCCTGATGTTGTAGTGCTCCAGCGTGTGCTGGTCCTGCAGCTCCCTGGAGCCGTAGGTCAGGCGCTGCTCGTTGGCAGAGGGCCCCTGCCGGGCCTGGATCTGCTCCTTCAGCTGTCGGACGGTGTCGGTGGGCAGCACCGTGTAGGTCGTGGTCCGGTTCTTGTCGTCCTTGACCAGGACCTGCATCCTCTGGAGCTCGGTCTGCAGCAGCACCAGCGTGGTGTTGTAGAAGATGCCGTGCATGGCCAGGGTATCGCTGTCCTGCAGGGTGATGTTGTTCCTGCCTGGCTCCTGCTGTGCCAGGCGCTGTTGGTATGGGGAGATGCCCCAGCTCTGGTGGATCATGTCCTTCAGCTGCCCGATGGTGGTGTAGGGGCTGACACACTCCGTCAGCCTGGTGCCTGACAGCTGCATCACCTCAATGGTCACGGGCCGGGCTGGCTGCAGGGACAGGAGAGTGGGTGGGCAAAGACAGCAGGGACAGGGGTCTTTGATGCTTGGGGGGACTTGATGCTCACAGGGTCAGGCAGCCTTACCTGCACATTCCAGGGCTGGGCGTCTGCAAGGCAGGGCAGTGAGCGGCAGTAGCTGGCAGCTGCCTGTGCCATCAAGTTCCAGTCCTTGTCCTGGCCCAGGATCCCCGTGGGGTCAGCAGGGTCCACGATGACAGGGCTGCAAACACAGAGTGGGCATTGCTGTCAGCCCTGGGCAGTACCATGGGGCCAGCAGGCACAATCCCACTGGGCATGATCCTCACCGGGGACTGCGCAGCAAGCCCTTGACGTGGGCACCAATGTCTCCGTGCTGCAGTGAGTAGTACTTCTCCCAGTAGATGCAGATGTCCCGGTGCCGGCCCAGCAGCTCCAGCACTGTGCGGAAGCCCTGAGCCATGTCAAAGTTGTGGGAGGAGTCTGTGCCCTCCTCCCAGGCATAGATGGTCAGCAGCTCCAGGGCATACTTAGGGGGCAGGTGTGCATTGGGGTACTGCGGACTCAGCAGCTGGGGAGAAGAACAGATGGAGGTGAGAGCTGGCTGGGATGGGTGTCTGTTGGGAACTGGGAAAGCTGGGCAGCCCTCACCTTCTTGTACCAGTACTTGACCAGGCGCAGGAGGTCCTTCAGCTTGGCAGGGCGATACTTCACAAACTTCTTCTGCAGCTCAGTGAAGCAGGGGGAAAACTCCCCGGGTTGGCTGTGGGCATGCAGGAGCCTCTCATACACTCCTGGGTTTGGTGGGGCATCCTGGGTCACCTGCCCTGTGGGGTGAGAAGGAGGGTGAGAAGGAGGGTGAGAGCCATCCCAGCACTGACACCACTGCCTGTCCCTGTGCCAGCCTGCAGCCCTTACCCAAAGCATCATAGGCAGGCAGGACGTCCACATCAATGGACTCTCCAGTCTCCGGGGAGGACAGAGTAAGGCTGAGGGAGCGCGGTGTGAAGTCAGGACCTTTGTACCTGGGCTCACCAATGCACACATCAAACTGCAAGCTCTCCCTGCAGTCCTTCAGCCTTATCATGATCAAATCCAGGATAACCCTTCTGTTGTTCCTCTGGTCCTCGTAGCTGGGTAAGCAGCTGAGGAAGAGCACCACATCAGCATCAGAGCTGTTCTTCAGAGCTGTGCCCTTTCCTGCTGATCCACCCTGCAGAGAGAGACCCTGCTTGCTCAGCACCACTGCCAGCACCAGGATCGGCTGCCACCACTCCTGGAGCTGCCAAGGGAAACTGAGGCAGGACAGGAGCTGGAGCATGGGGCAGTGGGAAGGGCGGCAGCAGGGGTGTCAGCTGGCCCCCAAGTCGGGTAGCACTCACCTTGACGGTCTTTTGGACGTGGATATTATCCTCAAAGCACTTCCTCTTCAGGAATTCACAGATTTTCCACACTGTCTCCTTCACCTGTGCAGAGAACTCCGGGCTGGGCTGCAGGGTTCTGGCGATCCAGCCATCCAGCTCCCTGGCAGTTACTGTTCTCAGTCCGTCCATGGATGCTGCCGGGTTCACATCCATCCTGACAGGTGTATCGCTCCCTTTGCCCTCTTCTGATTTGCTGCCTCCTCCCTCTGCTCCTGCCCGCAGCACTCCACCCCACAGGCTGCTCCTGCCTGCAGCAGCTTTTAAACCTTCCCGGGCCGCCGCCCCGATGCGTCACCGCGGGGAACTTAAGGTGGCCCCTGGTCGTTTCCCCGAGATGCTCCGGGTGTCTCCGGTGCCGCCCTGCGGGGGCTGGGAGGGGGCTGCGGTCACCCTGACACCCAGCTCGGCTGGCCGTGGCAGAGAGGCAGCAGCCTGCAGGCTGGCCCTGGGGTGCCGTGGGGCTCACAGCCCGGTGCCTTCGGTGACACAGGGTCTCACAGCCCGGTGCCTTCGGTGACACAGGGTCTCACAGCCCGGTGCCTTCGGTGACACAGGGTCTCACAGCCCCGTCGATGACACAGGGTCTCCCCCTACAGGCAGAGCCCCAGTGTCCGGGCTGGGGCACAGCCAGTGCTGGGACACGGCTCACGGCTGTGCCATGGTGTGAGCAGGGGCAAGGGATGTGGCAGTGCCACCACGGGCAATGGAATGAGGCTGTCCCCAGTGCCTGCAGATGCCCGGCACCGCTGCAGGCAATGAGATGCAGACATAGCCAGTTTCTCCGAGGCTCCTGGTGGCAGCACCGTCGGTGGGACACGGCTGATGCCGGCATCACCAGGGAGGCTGTGCCCTCCCCTGCAGGGGGATGCGGCCGGTGCAGCGGCACCAGAGCCCCCGCAGCCCCTCGATGCCGGGAGCAGGAGGCAGCAGGCAGCACGAGTAGGATGTTACAGCCTGTGCTGCCTTAAACCGGGAGATCGGGAGTTTCAGTTTCTGTTCCCGACGCAATTTTCAGTTTCTGGCTCTGCCAAGCTGGAAACGAAAGTGCGAAGGAGCCCGCGACTGCCCCCGTGGCCCAAATAAACAGGGAAGAGCCAAATGACAGAAACACACCTGGGAGCTCGGCTTGGGGCCAGGCGGATGGGCGGGGGCTGTAACAGAGCGGGAAAGAACAAAAAAAGGGGCAGGGAGTCGGGACATGGGGAGGAGACAGGCAAAGGCTGGAGAGGGAGGGAGGGAAAGGGATGGGGACAAGATGGGGCAGGGAAAGGTCAGCAGGAGGGGCAGGGATATGAACAGAGGGAGATGGGGTCCATTTTGGGATCAGGGATTGGGATAGGGGTACAGATAGAACAGAGGAGAGATGGGCAGGGTTACAGGGATACAGTCAGGAGCAGAGACAAGGACAAGAGTAGAGATACTGGATATTAGGAGAAAGTTTTTACAGAAAGAGTGATAAAGTACTGGGGAGGTGGTGGAGTCACCATCCCTGGATGTGTTTAAAAAAAGACTGGATGTGCCATGGTTTAGTTGAGGTGTTAGGGCTGGGTTGGACTCGATGATTTTGAAGGCCTCTTCCAACCCTGTGATTCTGTGATTGGCAGCAGCAGCAAATGGCCAGGCCAGGGATGCAGGCAGGAGCAGGGATGGGTGTTCCCTGAGTATTGGGTGACAACAAGGCAGGAATACAGGCAGGAGCAGGGATATTAGGAGGAGAGGCAGGGAGGGGACCAGCACTGGGGACAGGGTTACAGGCAGGGGCAGAGCTGTGGGCAGGGACAGGTGTCATGAGCATTTCACACCTGAGGAGCAAGGCCAGGACACCAAGGTGAGCATGACAAGAGATGTTCTTTATTCTCACCCAGGGGGTGTCCCACCCAAACTGAGGCACCCTGAATGTGGTTCACATGTCAGTCTCACACCCCTCAAGTGTTGGGGTATAACAAGGCTCCACAGATTGCCTGCTGTCCCCATGGCTTTGTAAAGCCAGTGCAATTTGTGGCTTTGGCATCCTTCTTTCCTCGTTCTGGAGTCAGTCTCACTATGCCAAGGGGTGCCTATCTGTGAGGCCAGATGGTGGGAGGGCCCAGCTGTGGGTCTTATCTGCCTGCCTGCCCAACCATAGCAATGCAGTGTACAGCAGTACAGGGGATGTATAGATCTTAGTAAGGGCCAAACCATTTCATACTAGAAAGGCTAATTGGTACTTTACTTAGGGAATGAGATTTTCCTATTGAGATGCAGGCAGGGACAGGGACAGAAGAAGGGATACAGGCAGGGATAGTGAGTAGCTAGGGATGAAGATAGAGCAAGGACACAGGGCAGGGATGTGCAGAAAATCACATTAGGAGAGGCCAGTGTCCATAAAGGAGACAGAGGAGTCCTGCAACTTTATTCAAATAAAGGGAGAGACTCCACTGGGCCACATCCCCACGGAATTTCTCTCCTGACATTCACGATGCAGCATCCTTTTACTCTAACTCTCGGCTGCATGTTGTCCTCTGTCTTTCCCCATTGGCTGAGGTACTAAGAAGGTACAGCCTTCCCGGACCGCCTACCACGTGTTCCGCCCCTAAACCTGTCATTTGCCCCTGAAGTTCAGAAGTTCAGGCTGAGTTCTGCAAGAGACTTTGTGCTGACCGAATTATCTATTGCCTTAAAGTTCAGGAATTCGAGCTGTAGTCAAACTGTCTGGATTCTGTACCAAACCTGTGTGGCTTGAGCTTAGTAGAGACATTAAGACCCATTTCAAATACATGAACACCGATTTCTCCTAAAGACCCGCACCCATCAAATTGTTTTAAAGATATCAGTAGGCACCTTTCCTATCAGGGACCAGGGATGAAGATAGCATCAGGACAGGAGAGGGGCAGGGATGCTGAGGGAGCAGGGATGAACATAGCGCCTGGACAGGGAGAAGGGCAGGTAGAGGGTCAGAGAAAGGGGCAGGGAGGCGAGCAAGGACAAGGAGAGGGACCAGGAGAGGGACAGGGACAGGGGACTCGGGCAGGTCTCGCGACGCATGCGCAGATAGTGGAGGCGCTCTCAGGGGCGTGGCGTGGGCGGGGTGTGGGCGGGGGTATCCCGGCGGGGGCGGGGCGTGGGGTCCGCGCGCGCCGGCCATGCCGCGCTCCCGCCGCGCTGCGCGCCGTGAGTGAGGGGGGCCCGGGAAAGGGGACCGGGGGTCGGGTCTGAGTGTGACATGGCCGGGCTGGCAGCGCCGGGCTCACAGCGCCGGGCTGGCACCGCCGGGCTCACACGAGTCTGCTCCCAACCCCGCAGGCGGCACCGGCAGCGCCCGGGCGAGCTCGCCCGGCAGCGAGGAGGAGGCCGGCAGCGAGGTGCTGAGCCACTGCAGCAGTGCCAGCGAGAGCGCCGGCCCCGCTGAGGAGGGAGCAGGTGAGGCACGCGGAGCCCATGGTGACCCCCCACGTGGGTCGCGGTGTGCCCGCCCTCGGCCTTCCCGGCTTCACGTGGTGCCGCCCGGGCAGGGAGCGAGGCGGCGAGTGAGCACGGCCAGGAGGAGGAGGAGGCGGAGGACAGGCTGAAGGAGCACATGGACACCCTCCTGGACAAGAGGTGAGGTGCGGTGTCCCCCCGCGGGCGCTCCGGGCGCGCTGCCAGCCGCGGGCAGGGACGTGCCCCGTGCCGGGACAGCCCAGCCCGTGACGTGCCGCGGTGTCTCGCAGCGCCAAGGCGCGGCAGGCGGCACTGCAGGGCCTGCGCCTGGCCCTGTCCTCCAGAACCCTGTCCGAGTTCCTGCTGGAGCGCCGCCTCACGCTCACCGACTCCCTGGAGAAGTGTCTCAAGAAAGGTCAGGGGCCGGGCGGGCGGGCGGGGGGCGGCGGGGCCGCTGGGCCGTGTCTGAGGCTGGTCTCTGGTGCTGCCCACAGGTAAAGGGGAAGAACAGGCGCTGGCAGGTAGCGTCCTCACCCTCCTCTGCCTCCAGATGGGCTCCGGCCCGGAGGGAGAAGAGGTGTTCCGCAGCCTGAAGCCGCTGCTCGTCAGCGTCCTGACAGACAGCACAGCCAGCCCCAGCGCCCGGCAGAGCGTAAGCCTGGCCCCTTTCCTCCTGGGGACACCTCCGTGCTGGGGAGAGCCCATGCAATGTCTTTGGGAGCCCCTGCAGTCCCGGGAGGGTGACAGGATTGGGTGCTGTGGAGTGCGCTGGGGCAAAGCAGGGGCACCCCAACCCGGCTGCCCCTTGGCTGGGTGCTGGATCAGGCCTGGCATCTAACTGTTTCCCTAACTTCTCTTGCCAGTGTGCCACAGCCCTGGGCATGTGCTGCTACATTGCTGCTGGTGACCTCGAGGTAACTGCGCCTGGGTGTCGTCTGTACCCCCTGCAAAAGGGCACCCTGGGGCTGCCATGCCACCTGCCCTCAGCCCACAGTGCCAGAGCAGCCTGGAGCTGAGCTGGAGTAGGGGTACGGGGACATGAGTGACAGCCCAGCCCCCTTCCCTGGGCAGCCTGGAGCTGAGCTGGGGGCAACCAGCTGGGGGGGTGTTGTGGGTGGAGTAGCCTCCCCTGTCCCAAGGGGCTCCTGGCACCTCTTGGTATAGTGTGTCCCGTTTTGGTCCCCAGTGCACAGCTCAGTGTGGCATCTCCATGGCAGCTGTGGTCTGACTGGCACAGCTTCTCTCCTCCAGGACCTGGTTTCATGCCTGTCCTGCTTGGAGGGCATCTTCAGCACCCCCAGCACAGGCGAAGGGGGCACAGCACCTGCCCAGCACAGGCCTCTGCACTGCAGCGCGCTCCAGTCATGGTCCCTGCTCCTCACCATCTGCCCCCCCTCCCATCTCAGGAGCATTTTGGACAAGTGAGTGGGGTGTGAACTGAGTGGAGGCTGGTGTGGGGCAGCCAGCTGTGGAGCACAGAGCCCTTGGTGCCGTGCTTGGCCTCTCTGATGCCCTCTTGCCTCCCTGTCCCAGTCGCTGGCTGCAGCTGCCCCCACTGCTGACCAGCAGCAGCGTTGCCCTGCGCATCCTGGCTGGGGAAACCATTGCGCTGCTCTTCGAGCTGGCCCAGGACCTGGAGGTAAGGCATGGGCTGTGGCATGGAGCAGTGGGTGGGCACTAAGCAGGCAGCAGGGAGGGAGCTGCTCTGACACCCTGAGGTGCCCCGGCTGAGCTGGCATTGACCAGCAGGCACCCAGGCAGAGGGGCTGGCCCCAGTGGCCAGCCACTGCTGGCCATGGCAGTGGGCAGTGCCTGGAGGTCATCCCTCTAAATCCCCTGCTTTTTGCCAGGAGGACTTGTGCCACCAAGATACAGAGTTCCTGTGTACCCAGCTCAAGGTCCTGGCTACTGAGAGCAACAAGTACCGAGCCAAGACAGACCGACGGAGGCAGCGATCCATCTTCCGTGACATCCTGCGTTTCATCGAGGTACCGGAGCCTGGGGCTGCCCTGCTCTGCCCCTGCTTCCCAGCTGCCTGATGATTCCTCTCTAGAGAGCCAGGGGACACACAGGGCTGGTGCCCAGGTTATTGCTGATGCCCCTCTCTCTGCTCAGACTGGAGAGTACCAGGAGGAGACCGTCCGATTTGGCCTGGAGTGCATGTACCTGGACAGCTGGGCACGCCAGCGCACCTACCAAGCCTTTAAGGAGGTGCTGGGCTCCGGCATCCACCACCACCTACAGGTATGGGCTGGCAGATGCACCAGGGAGTGCTGGGCTGGTGCTGTGGGCATTGACAGACCCCTGCTTTCACAGAACAATGAGCTGCTACGGGAGATCTTCGGCCTCGGGCCCCCCTTGGTGCTGGATGCGGCTGCTCTGAAAGCCAGCAAAGTCTCCCGCTTTGAGAAGGTGGGTGCCACCTCCCACATTTGTGCCCACAGTCCCCTCCTCTGCCACCAGGGGCTCCAGCTGAGTGTGGTGGGTGCTGCTGGGGAGGTGAGCAGAGGGGCATCCCCTGCCCTAATCTCTCCTTCTCTCTCCTTGCAGCACCTCTACAACTCAGCTGCCTTCAAAGCGCGCACAAAAGCGCGGAGCCGCGTGCGGGACAAGCGGGCGGATGTGCTGTGATGGGCACGGGGGGCAGAGCCCCCAGCCCACCTGGACTGCAGACCCTGCACTGTGAGGGGCAGGTGCCCCCAGCCCTCGGGCTTTTATTCATGTACAGCAGAGTATTTAATGCCTGGAGCTGCCCCAAGGGGGGGCTGCCCCCTCTTTTATTTTTTTAACCAAAAAATAGGAAGGATAAAAGAAGAGCAGGGGGAGGTGGTGGCGTGCTGCCATGTGCCTGCTCTGTGGCTGGACATGCATGTGTCACAGTGGGAGGGGGTCTCACCCAGGCTTCTGCAGCCACTTTCAGTGGCAGGGCTTGTGTATACCCTCCCTAGTCCTGCAGGGGCACCAGGGTGGCCTCGCACAGCCTGAAGAGTGGGTGGGAGGGCAGAGCTGTGCAGGGCTGTAGAGCAGCTGGTCCTGGTGTCTGTGCCTGTGGCAGGAGCGTTCTCCCCACCCTGCCATGCTGGGTACAGCCCCTGCCTCCCCAGCCAGCCTGGCATCAGTGATGGTGGCAGAGCAGTGTGGAGTGGGAAGCTCTGCCCAGTCCTGCCAGCTGCCTACTCTCAATCCTTTTGCAGCCAAATGCTTTATATGAAATAGTAATCTTGTGGGAAATTAATTACGGGGGGGCCACTGCCCAGGCGGACATGGGGCCATGCCAGTTGGCAGTGCCTGCCACCCTGGGAATGTATCTATCATGGTGATTTTCTAAGACTTTGATTGTAAGAGGTAATTAAAAGGCTAAATAAAGTTTGCCTTCTGCCTTGTTAAGAGGAAGGGCTGTCACTGGGGCGGATGCAGGTCCTTACCAGCCTGGTTTCTTTCTCTCACAGCCTGGGACAGGGTCTGGGATTGCCCCTGTGCCCCAAGGGACAATGCTGCCAGGTCTCAGTGGGTAAGGCTGCTGCTCCCCCCTCCTGCCCTTCGGTGCCCCTTCCCGTG